GCCTCCCTCAATATTCTAACTGGGACTTCTACTCAGATTTCCTCCACCACACGACTCAGACCTTAATAATTAATTACGATCAATTAATTTAAGTAACTGAAAATGAATAAAAATAACTACTGTTTCCTGAACACTCACTACATGCCCAGCAGTCTACACTCATCCTCTCACTAATGGTCGGAGCTGTGGGGCGGGCAGTTCCAACCTCGCCTCACGGAGGTCTACACTGAGGCTCAAGGAGGTGAGGTCACTCTCCGAGGTGACACATCAGGAAGTGGCAGAACGAGCATCTGAGGGCAGACTTGCCAGCCTCTAGGGATCGGGGTGACTCACCTCTGTGTTCCCCAGGGCACTGTGCAGCTTTTTGTAACTAACAGGCACTTGATACGTTTTTGTCAATGAGTGATTCTTTACCCCAAACGAGTGACTCTTACCCCAAAAACAGATGCACATGAGAGCACTGCGTACCTCCTATGGCGACAAGTTGTACACAATGCCCTGCGGTCACAGCTCCCTTCGTAAACGCCACACCATCAGCATTACTACTCAGTGGCCACAGTCCAGCCACCACACTCACTCAGGAGAGTCATTTTCTTTCATAAAAATTCTAAAGTGAAGCACTTTTCAAAACCAGACTGGTAATTCCATCTCACAAGGAATTACTTAAGTAAGTGCGAAAATACCCTCTCCTTTCTACTTGAAAGACGTTATCGCTGAGCACGATCACGGCCTGGTGACGGCTGAAAGGGCCAATGTTCGTGCAGTAGCTCCTGACCTACTAAGGACGTGTGAAGACAGTGGCTCCTTTCACTGTGGCCGCAGCTGCTTCTTCCCAAGCCGGGGCTATTGCCCCCTGTCCTCTGGAGTCTCGCCAGCAGGCGGCTCTGCCTCAGATGACGCCCCTCAGCTCAGGCAGCTCCCCTCTCGGGCTCCATGGGCCAACCCCGGCCGACCATTCCCGACACATGGTCTCTGGCACCCAGAGACCCGTCCTTCGGTGCCAGTGACCCTGTCCAGGCCCTAGTCCTCGGTGCTGGTGAGCCTGTTCCCTCTGAAGTTCACTAGGGCCCGAAGGTGAGGAGTACGAAACTGCCCAAGGGGACAAATGTGACCTCTCGCTACTGGGCATGGGGGTGGGATCCCCGGATTAATGGCCTTCACTGTGACACGAGATTGGCCATCCCAAGCACTGACCTACAGATCTCCCAGGGAACTGGGGAATTTCTAGCCTCCTCCTGATGTAGGTAACGCCTACAACAGCACCTTAAATAACAACAGGTAATCAACATCGATGTTTTTAAAATTGTGGTAAAAGTGCACGCATAACACAAAATTATCACCTCGACCACTTCTAAGTGCGCAGCTCAGGGACATCGGGCACAGTCACACTGCTGTGCAGCCACTGTCGCCACCATCCACGCAACAGAACTCTTCACCTCCCCAAACTGAGACTCTGTCCCCATTAAACACGCCCCCCATAGGGAGCCCATGGCAACCACTTTCTGTCTCTACGGGTTTGACTACTTTAGAGACCTCGTGCAGGTAGAACCGTACAGTATCCGTCTTCTGTCTTATTTCACTTGGCATAACAGAATATCCCATCGTATGGATATACCCAATTTATGCATTGATGGACACTTGGGTCGCTTCTACTTCTTGGATACTGTGAATCGTGCTGCTATGAACACGGGCATGCAAATATTTAAGATCCTGCTTTCGATTATTTTGGATATATGTACTTAAAAGTGAAATAACTGGATCATATAGTGATTCGATTTTAACTTTTTGAAGAGCAATTACTACTTTTAAAATTTTATTTTTGATCTATGTACCACTGGGTAATACACTTAAACTGTAAATGGCTATTAGCTCTGCGCTGCCAATGAAAGCTTTTGGTGGGGACGCAGGCTCTTTCCAGATGTTGAGCTTTCAGGAGCAAACATTCCCCCAACACGACTGAGGAGAGTCACACAGAATGTTTCAAGAAGACACCTCTGTTAATTCTGGAGGGTTGTGTGTATCATCTTCACCCCAAAATATAAAAGTTAGTACAAATTGAGGCAAGTTAATATGCTTTGAATACACAGTCTAAGTTCTTGGAGAATATGCATTTAAATCTAAGATCTAAAAGTACCAGGGGAAATTTTTATAAAAAGAATGGTGATTTAACAAAAAATGTTTATTATATTTATATAAAAAACAATGTAAATGACAAAGGTATAAAAAACACTCTAGAATCTTATCAATACTGGGTTGCTTATGATAATTGTTAAAGGAGCTTACTGTGTATTTCCCGACATTTTAGGTGTTTCTTTATAAAGCAGTTTAAACTACTACTCCCCAAAAGAAGAGGCAGCTTCGTTAAAGAACAAACTAGACCCGCCACCTGAACCCGCAGAAGAAAGCATTAAGCTGAGCATCCAGGCTCTTACCTAACTCCAGAAGAAAACAACAACTTTCAGGAATGGACACAGAGGTGAAGGACAGGAAAATGCCAAAATCTATGAAATAGTTTTTAAAACCACCTCGATGAGCCTGGAAACGTGGTATTTCAAGTAGATGAGGATTCCTGCTAACTTCTGTTACATTCATTCATGAAAAGTCTCTTAATTGTTATTTGTAATCAATATCAGGAGCTCAGGGACCTAAAGTAAAGGTACCATTAAACGTCTCGGAAATGAAGAATTCTGACAAGCAGACGTGTCTCAACACATAAAAATGCACCTTTCTGGTCTTTTTTTTTTCTCAAATGCTGTGTCACTGGGTCACATAGAACTGAACAAAAAGGAGCTATTTTCATATTATAATAACTGAGGATCATAAATATTGTACCTCTGATAATACTGAGATAATCAAAACAAAATGTTTATGGCCATGCCACCCTGAACAAGCCCGATCTCGTCGGATCTCAGAAGCTAAGCAGGGTTGGGCCTTGTTAGTATTTGGATGGAAAACCACCTAGGAAGACCGGGTGCTGTAGGCAAAAGAAAAAAAATGCGATATACAATAAAACTATCAGAAACACCAGTGAGAACTCTTTCCTCTAAGTTCTTATGCCTCTATTAAATAACTTATCAGGCGACATGGTAATTATCACGTCTGCTCCTAAGCAGGAGACCTACAGGACAATGACCACGTTTCCTCTCTGTACCCCATGAGTGCACCTGCCATGATGGAAAATGTGGGGATGTCACAGGAAAATAGGTTTCACTCTTCCAGTTTTCCTTACAGAGAGAGAGCCCTGTGAGGTCCCAGTTTCTTCAGAGGAAGGTTAAAATATTAACTTTAGACTTTGTTAAATTAAATATGCGTATGATAACTTCTCGTGTAACCATATAAGAAATTAAGAAACAGTATCTAAAATCCAAACTAGTCGATGGAAAAAATGAAACAAGAGGGAAAAAAAGAATTCAAAAGAAGCCTAGGAAAAAAGCGAAAAAGAAAATTTGAAACAGGTAGGGAAAATAATGCAAAATCTGTCGCAGCTAAAATGTAAATGGACTACGGATTAATAAAATCGACAATGAGCTGTTTACAAGAGATGCAGACCAGGGGAAAGGACTGGCGGAAATGAACCAGGCAAATTCTAACCAAAAGCTGGTGTAACTATGCTCATACCGATAAAAACAGACTTTATCCTTAGCAATGCTTTTACTCTTAAAGCAAACCCTTCATGATGATGAGGGTCAAGTTACAGGAAGTTAAATCACCTCTAAATTTGCATCCCTGACAACGGGGCATCGAAAAGTTCAGAGCGAAACCAACTAAAATCAAAAATTTGACTGATAATCTATAATCAGTCGGAAGATTTTAATATGCTTCTCAATAACTGATAGAAAACTGACTCAGGCCCCTTCTAGCTCCCCATCCAAATCAGAAGGACACAAGGCTATAAACCATATAAACTTGACTCATACAGATACACTGTCACTTGAATACACATTTTCCCCTCATCACCTACGGATACAAAGCACCACTGACCCTAGAGTGAAGACCACAGAGGGCTGGATCGGAGCTGCCGCGGCCACGGGGCTGTGTGAACACTAAGGTGAGTGAGGCTCTCTGTGCTCGCATCAGGCACGGAGGTCTGGGGGTTACTGCACGTAATCCAGTGGGAGCCAATAGGGACAGTTTATGAATACTTCGCTTTGGAATTAACTACCTAAATGTGATATGCAAACACATTTAGGAATTAAAACAAAAATTCACAATGTTTACTGCTCTCTTTCAATTTTAACAGCTGAAAATATTCTCTGAATTGGGATTTATTTTGGTGTACTCCTACTTTCCTGTGCATGATCAAGAAAGTTTAATGTTCTGAAAACTGAGACAATATAAAGAAATCAATCAAATCCTACATTTAAAAAAATGATGTTTATGGGAAATTTTCACATAAAAATTATCATAGAAACAGCACAAAGAACAACCTTTCCAACTATAAATTTCAATAAATAATACTATCATGCTGAGAAATGAAGCTATTAATTTTAGGTTAAGGAAATAATCATCTACGTAAAAAGCTGAATGTTACATACAGTCGCTATTTCAAAAAACTGACAGGCTCTGAGTATCTGGAGGCGGGGAGGCGCCTGATCTCCCTCCATGGGGAGGGGTCTGTTTAAACGCCTGGCTGAAGTTAAGACCTCGAGGTCCCAGGAAGAGCCAACCTAGAGCCAAGCTCCGGTTGTGCCATATACTTGATTTACATTTTCTTCATCTCCATGAGCTTTATTTTAATCCCACGCAAAGTGCGGACAAATATATATGGTTAAAAAGTGGGAATGATTGCGAATAGCTTAGTGTAAGGATGGAGTATAAAACAACACTTATGAAAGTGTCAGCTAACACTATTATCAAAGGTGAGGGATTAGTACTCCATACAGTTCTTAAAATGGGGGACGGAAGTGAAAGCAGGCCCTCGACCAGCACCTCTATCTCTCGAAATGCTCGGACGTGACCTTTCGCGTGCTTGCTGCCCTGAGCATCTACTAAACACTTACCAGGTCACAGAACTCAAACACCAGAAGGTAGGGAATCGCTTCTACACACTGTCCGACGCACTGAAGAATATTTGGATGCTGAAGAATACTGGTAAAAATAAAAGTCACCTTATTATTCATCAGGGAGCATGCTAGTAACACTGTTCAAACAGTAATCCAAATTTTAACATTTATAATGATGTAAACGTAAGCTGAAAAGAATGCATTAAGAAAATACTTAACAGATGTATTCTAAGTTATCTAATGATTAAATGATTCAAAGCCAATCACAAACGCTTACAAATTAAAACAGAATTCCTAATATAAGAATCTTTAATTTTTGCAAATTGAATTTATAAATATCACTTTGAAGTAGCAGTTTTAAAAGGCAGACTATATACACATATTCAATAAGCATTTCAATCCATACATTAAATAACTACTACTCAGGCTATCTAGCTTTTGTACTATTTCCATAAATTTCCACAGTATATGCAAACTTTTTGGCAAATATTTTACCAATAAAGTTTAAAAAAAAGATAATAACATAGGTTTTTTTTTTTTTTTACTTTTTATTTTGAAGCAATTATGAGTTAACGGTAAGTTGCAAAGACAGTAGGAAGAGGTCCCGGGTTCTCTCCACCCAGTTCCCCCACCAGTTACACCTGACAATTTACAGTACCAGTGACAGTACAAACCAGAATAGGGAACTGCTGCTAGGACAGAGTGCGTACACCTCTGTGTCTCGTTATCACACGTGTAGATTTGCACAGCCATCACCTCAACCGAAATCCGGAACTGCTCCTCACCACAGACCTCCTCCATGCTACACCTTCAAGTCACAGACAGCTCCTTCTCCCCGCCCACCACCCCCAAGACCTGGCAACCACTCACTAATCCATTTGCCATCCCTATAATGTGCTCACTGTGAGAACATTATGTAACTGGAATCACAGCGCATGTGGCCTTTTAAGGTGGATTTCCTCACTCGACATAACGCCCCCGAGGTCCGCCGAGCTGCTGCCCACACCAACGGTGCGTCCTTTTTACCGCTGAGGCACCTCTGGCATGGATAGGTCAGTTTGTTTAACCATTCACCTTCTGAGGGACGTTTTCATTTTGAGTCTTAGGTTATAAGGCTCTGAATCTTACTTAAATTGTGCATTTTACATGTGAAAATTTCAAAGTTTTTTGTTGTTGTTTAAAAAATATTTTGGTTTTCTTCAAAGGCAAACTTGTCTGATAGATAAGATTTTCCTAAGTCTACCGATGTTGTAATTTTAAGCAATATATTTAAAATATTGCTCTGTGGATGAAGTTCTGCAACCTGTCCATGCAGAAATAAAGTGGGTCATTTCCTAAATGAGTTCGTTTTCATAATCTTTATCCATGACAGGTGCATAAAACGATGTGTGGTGAAATGGGCAGGGCCAGCAGATGCCAGCTGAGACATCCATGTCAGTTTTCCCTTGAGGCCCTCTGTATCTTGCTGACATATTTCAAATCTTTCATTTTCCCTTAGGGTCACAAAATCAGTTGGTTGCCAAGAACCTGGACAACCTCGTTCCACTTCTTAACTTTTGGGATGACGATGCCACATTTTCCCGACCAGGAGCTCTCACGCTTCACAGAGCCCTTATGATTTTTCCCTTTTACTTAGGTATAGCTGGTATACCACACCATCTTAGGGTCAGGTGTATAACATAGCGATTCAACATTTACATATCGACATTTACATATGACGATGGAATTCCAAAGTATTTTTAAATGCCTGATTTTCAAGACCAAAGGGCACATGCACAGAACACAAGTAAGGGTTTGCTTACTAGTAAGGTTCTCCATTTTTCAAAAAAGTATCTTGTTCCTTTGGGCTTGCACTTGCTTTTAACTCCTTCACGATGACTCTGGCGACACTGGTGCCTGTGTAAATCTCTCCAAGGAGGACCTACAACCAAAGGACAGTTCTTCACTTCATCTCCCTCACAACGGTAAAGAACTTACTTCTCATTTATCAGAAAGTAGAATACAGGAAAATAAATTAAGCAACAAGCAGATGGCTTTCTATTATTTCAAATACTACTTATGAAAAGCTGGAAAAGTAAAATATTTCTTTCAGTTTTAAACCACTCATCAGATATTTATGACATTCATATATTCGTATGTATTTCTTTTTATTTACTTAAAAATGTATCACACTTTCATGGAAATGACCAATGGCATTATGGAAGAGTAATCTGTAAGTTCAGTTCAAACATAAAAAGATCGACAAAGCTGTTCCTACAGGTCACTGGACAGGCAATAAGGGCAGAACAGTTCTTGGTGATGGTCTCCATGATAATGATGCTACCTATTTGTGCCTATAAAGTAGTTTACGTGTCATAAGGACATGGGGTGGAGAAGGAAACCCAAAAATTTAACTTGGGGAGGATAAACAGCTTCTAAAATGCTGGTGTCTTCTCCCTTCTTACTGTTCTTTTGTCAACAATTAGAAAAGTCTCTAATATATAAATACAAGACCCTCTCGGAAAAACTGACCCACCCAGGAAT